TCTTTCATTCATCCATTAAAAATAAAAACAAATAGCAAGTAACATTTGGTAGATGCCTACACTCTGTCAGGCTCTGTACTTGACCCTGGTCAAGAAAGACACAGTCCCTAGTCAAGGGGCTCAGAGAAAAAGGCAATTTAATCAATGATTATATAAGGGTAATCGTTGATTATAAACGTGTGCTATAAAAATAACAACAACACAATACCTATAATAATAACAATGAAGCCAGTATGAATTGAATGCTGGCTGCAAGGTAGGCACTAGGATAAGTGCTTTACCTAATTTAATCTTTATAGTCACTCTATGTGGTAGATCCAATTATTATCCCCACTTTACTAATAAGGAAACTTGGACCTGGAAAGGTTAAGAAACTTGTCCATAATGACAACTAGAAAGTAGCGGAGCTGGGATTGGAATCCAGTGTATAGTAAAATGCAGCTCTAACCTCGAAGCCCCCATTCTTAATCTCGCTGCCTCCATCGGCTACAATAGAGGCAGGCTCACATCTAGACCTGCAAGGCTCTAAAGAGGCAGAAGTGGAGTTTTGAAAATGAAAGTCATTGACAAAATATTTGAAATGATGGTAAAATTAGGAACACATCCATTCCGTTCACTGAAGTTTCAAATAAAGGATAAAGAATTTCAGGAAGAAAATTTGGGGGAAATAGGTTTTCTGAGATTATATAAAATAGTACTGAGTTAGTGGTCTTCTTTTCCTATCACTTTATTTTACAAACAAATTAATGAATCAAAAAGTAAAGCGCGTTTAAGTTAAGTGGGAAAAGCTGAATTAATTATTTCAAGTTTATTAAGTGAAGCTGTTACAAGCTGAGTCTAGTGTATAAATCCATCTGAGGAAGTATTATCATATGGTTTGCCTTCTAGAAAGAAAATCAGAAAATGATCTTTAGTCTTAGCTATCTTGCTGCTGTTAATACATACATAAAATAAAACAAAATAGAGAAGATAAAAAGGAAGAAAGGGAGGAAAGTAAGAAGGAAGGAAGGAAGGAAAGGAGAAAGAAAAGGAAGGAAGGAAGGAAGGAAGGAAGGAAGGAAGGAACGAAGGAAGGAAGGAAGGAAGGAAGGAAGGAAGGAAGAAAAAACCCGCCACCATGGCAAGGGACTTTCGCCAAAGGATTATCTTTTCTATGTGCCATTTTCAAGATTGCCTTCCCTATTACAGCCATCTTTTTACTCTTTATTATAGCTTTGCAACTTACTTTATAGATTCTCTGGATACTTTTCTTGTTCTCCTTTATTCCAGCTTCCAATTAACTTTTGTCTTTTTACCAGGTTTTAGTTCTTTTTGAAAATGAGTATAAAAACAAAATAGGAAAATCAAATTGATCTTTTTTCCCCCACGATACAGGATGTGGTCAAGATGGGGACAATAGCTACTGACTAAAATGAGGTTTAATGCCATAGGGTGTTGTATTTGTTTATTTGTACTCCTGCTTCTCCACTGAGGCTATTAAGTCCTTGATGGTAGGAACCATATGTTTTCATTTATTTTTCTCAGTACAAAGTTCAATGTCTGATATAGAAAAGTCATAGAAGAAACTATTTGTTGAATGGAGTGAATGAATGAATGAATGAATGAATGAATGAAACAACAGAAAAGGCAACACATATTGTTACCTTACTTTCCCCCAGTAACTACTCAAGTAACTACTTCCAGTATACAAAAATATATGTAAACTCTCAGGTATTTGTATAAACCAATATTTTCCTTTTATCTTATAAAACTATGAATTATTAAGCAAGTAGTTTAGAAAGAGGTATGCTGTATATACAGATGGTGCCAAAAAAAGTATACACATTTTAAGAAAGGAAAAAAACTATTAAAATTGTAATACTCAATATATACCGATAACAAAAGATGAATACAAGTCAAGTTTGACTTCTGCAATTACAAGAGGTGCTCAAAGTGGTTACTATCAGCGTCCAGACACTTCTGATTATGGCGAACTACTGTTTGGGCAACGTTGACCAAAGTATCCACTTGTACATATTTTTGGCACCCCCTGTATAGCCCTGTTTGAGTTTGTTTTTAGATTAGTAGGGCCAGAATGGAATGTTATGCCATTTCTTTCCATCCAAGGATAATCTAACCTTGCAAGGATAGTCAATAACAGTTCCTACTAGGAAGCCAAATAGTGTCTGAATTGGATTAAGGTGAAATAATGCCTCGATTCAGCTGCGTCAGGTAGGGCTTTGGTGTTTATGGCTTCATTACCTTAAATGGATATCTATATTTCTCCTGGGTTTAATGAAGTCAAAACAGCCAACTCTTTGTTGCTTGATGTTGGAGATTTCTTGCTTTTAACTTGATGTATTTTAATTTGTGCTTAACTAGCTCTCGCACATCAGGCACTCACCGGCATTTTAAGAACAATTAGCTAAGTGTCCCTCTGTGTCAGCAACAGAGTCAAGAAACAAGATAAGGAAAGTCAGTAAGAATGAGCCAGTTTAGGAAGGGAAATTTCACTTTCCATCACAAGCACTGGCCAGCTCATCAAGCTGCCTGTTCTCAGAGGAAGCAGGTCCACTCTAGTCTCCCTGGGGCTCCTTACGCATAAGTGGTTCTGCTCCGGGAGCTAATTGACTTTCCTGTTGTGTTTTTAGTTTTCAGGACTTTATCTCCTGTCTTTCTTCACCATCCTCATCGGGCTGGTGCTCTATTCCTCCACTTCCACATACACAGCCCAGGACCCCCGGGTGTACAAGCAGTTCCGCAATCCCTCGGGACCTGTTGTGGACTTACCGGCCACAGCTCAGGTGGAGCCTTCGGTCACCTACACCAGTCTGGGCCAGGAGACTGAAGAGGAGCCCCACGTCCGTGTGGCCTAGGAAGAGGCCCTGCCTGCCCACTGAGGACAGCTCAGTGGCCACGTGTGTGTCCATCATCTCTGTATTGTACATAGAGAAAGGTATTTATTAGGTGCGGTTTACGCAGGTGGACTGCAAGGTAGCTAACCTGAAAGCCTGTAAAAGGCACAAGCTAAACATCACTGGAGACACAGGTTCTGATCCACCTGACTTGGAGAGATGCCTCACTTGTGTGTATCCTGATCACCCCCCCCACCCCACATTAATTACTGAGAACATTTTTGAAACAAAAGCATTATTATTATTATTTGTATTATTATTGATATTCTTATTACACTGGGTTTCAGGAGGGTGTTTTGTACTCCTGATGGGAACTATCGCCAGACCCACATGTAGTTAACATAAATCCCACTTTTCTATGGCAAGCCACTTTTTAAGGATCACACTTTATTTTGTTTTTGCACAGTCTATATGAGTGCTGCCTGCCNGCATGGTAATACTCAGAGATACCTAACAGGTCTCCTGTATTCCAGACACACTCCCTTACCTCTGTTGTGATGCAGCAGCCCAATTTCCCTTTGGTAATGGAGATCAGTCACCCCAGCCAGCACCGTAACACTCCCTTTTTTACCTATTGATTGATTGAGAAGCATGAGGGGCCCAAAGTGGTTGGGTGGCAGTCTTCACTTTCAGTTCTATGGAATCATTGTGTCTCCTGGTGGAAACATTCCTTCCCTTGGGGCTAAGACATTTAGGCCAGCAGAGCATAAGGTTGCAGTGGCAGGAGGCAAAATTTTACTGGTGGATCACTGGGAGTAATGGCGAGTCGGGCCACTCCCATTTCCACCTCTTGATTCCATTGTAATGGAATAGGGGTTCTTAGAGATGTGTTGGGCAGCAACACTACTGCTTCTATAAACTATGTTTCACTAGCTTAAAATTCAGTCTCCTGCAAAATCACTCCAGCCCAGTGTGCACCTCTGTGTTGTCTCTCGGAGAGATAACAGATGTCTTTGTGTTGCAGGAGTTCAAATGTGGGAGTGAAGGCCACAGCTCAATGTACCTTGCACACAAATGTGACTACTGATAAGGATAATGCATGGGCAGGTGACATAAGTGAGCCATCAAACAGCCTTTGTTGTAACTGAGCCTATAATTAAACACTCCCACAGAGTAGACCCCTTTTATTCCACTTCCGGTTTGGCTATTATGATCTTCTTTTGCTGGACTGCAGAGAAAAGAAATCTGCCTGAACAAGATTTCTATCAACTCATCAAACCAAGTGAAAATGTCTGTTTGCTCTATCAAAGTCAATAGCAGAAATCCATTTTTAGCTCCCTCTTGCTGTACTCCTGTGTGAAATCACCCACAGGGGAAGGTATTTGCCTGGAAAAGAACCCTTACTGGCCTTTGATGAGATTGACTGCATAAATTATGCTGCCAAATGAACTGGTTTTGCAAACCAAACACAAGGCCGCAGAAACCGAACTGGGATTGCAGTGGGTGAGCACGGCCTGTCCCTGGGTGACAGCGTCACAGCACAGAGAGTCAGGGCCCCTGGTTGCTGCTTGTCTCCTTAACGTGATGTTTGGAGGATAAACTGTTTCCCGAGTATCTCATCTTAGGCATGCCTTGGTTTTCTGATATGGCCAGACAATCGGCATTTTGACTGGGGCACTCATTGGTTTATTTTCTGTGTTGATTAGATGACTTTGTAGTTATTTCCTCTCTCTCAGTTGGAGAAAGAATGGGAGGTGAGGGCTGAGGTTAAGTATTCTTGGTCTCTAAAGATAACCAGTTTTGGCGTTTGTCAGTAGAGTGTGTGCCATGCCCACATTTGGTGTTTTTCCGTGCTGTGGCCTAGAAGAAAGAACTATTGCAATACTTAACCACGGGGATTTAGCCCTTTTT